CCTCCAGAAGTTCCTTTATTATATAAGATTGTTTTGGCTCTCCTGGGTTTTTTGTTTTTCCATATAAAATTAATTATTATTCTCTCAAGGTCTGTGAAGAAGTTTGATGGGATTTTGATGGGGATTGCATTGAATTTATAGATTGCTCTTGCTAGAATTGCCATTTTTACTATGTTGATCCTCCCAATCCAATAGCAAGGAAGATCTTTCCATTTTCTGGTATCCTCCTCAATTTCTTTCTTCAAAGGCTTAAAGTTCTTGTCAAATAGGTCTTTCACTTCCTTGGTCAGAGTTATCCCAAGATATTTTATGCTATTTGTGGCTATCGTGAAAGGTGAAGTTTCTCTGATTTCCCTCCCTGCTTCTTTATCCTTTGTGTATAGGAGGGCAACTGATTTTTTGGAGTTGATCTTGTATCCTGCCACGTTACTAAAGGTGTTTATCAGCTGTAGGTGTTCTTTCGTATAGTTTTTGGGGTCGCTTATGTACACTATCACATCGTCAGCAAATAACGAGAGTTTAACTTCTTCCTTTTCCAATTCGCATCCCCTTGATCCCCTTATGTTGTCATATTGCTATTGCTAGAACTTCTAGCACTATACTGAAGAGGTATGGGGAGAGTGGACAGCCTTGTCTTGTTCCTGATTTCAATGGAATGGCTTTGAGTTTCTCTCCGTTCAGTTTTATGTTAGCTGTCTGCATGTTGTAAATAGCTTTTATTATATTTAGGTTTGATCCTTGTATCCCCAATCTCTTCAACACCTTTATCATAAAGGGATGTTGAAGTTTGAAGAAATAAGTAAATCCGTGAATTATACCCTGAGAAACCAAGAAAAAACAATCATACAAAGAGGAATCTTAAAACAATTTGATGGGCTCAAAAGTGACTCTGAGGTAGGAAGAGAGAGGCCCAGAAGGAGACAATCATAGTCAGTGATAAGATTGCTACTTGTTTTTTAGAAAGGGAATTTCCAAATACTTGTATATGTGCCAATGTAAATATTAAAATAGTTCATACAAATGTTAGAAATGTTTTTAAATGCTAAGTTCTTATATTACCGATAGGTTTGCATCAATTTCAACTTTTAAGACTTCTTATATATTAGCTTCCAAAAGTCTCCAAAACAAAAATAAAAATCTATCTGTTTTTTAATCAGTCACAATTCAATATTGTTTCCAAAATATGCGAAGGCAAAAAACTTACCAGGCACATCATTGATGCCTCCAAACATGTGACCTCATCTAATAACCTCAGCAGCTCCTGAAACCGACTGTCATGATATTCAAAGCGCTCCCCAAAGGTGATGGAGCAAATGATATTGGAAACTGCATTGTTGATCTTGAAGTGAGGGTCAAAAGGCTGTCCTGGAGGTGGGAAGAAGGCATGTGTCTTTCAAAGCTATTGGGTAGTTTCTGTTCCTTCTAACCGCCGCCCCCCACTCTCTCTGTCTCCCTTCCTTCCTTTCTTCCTTCCTTCCTTTATTCCTTCCTTCCTTCTTTCCTTCCTTTCTTCTTCTTCCCTCCTTTTGTTCTTTCTTTTTCTTCTTTCTTTATTTTTTTTTACAAAGATTCCACACTGAATGACATAAAGTATGCACAGTCGAGTATAATATGAAAAGCTCCAGCCCCAGCCCTCTGCAGGAGACCTGAAACAATTCAAGGACCTTGTCAACATCTGTGAAGTCACATAGAAAACCAGACCGTAAGTGTTACAATTTGTTTAATGACCCATTTGTGTGCTTAGCGGTAGAACTCCTTGGGCAAGCGGATTACTAAATGTTCACCGCTCAGTACTCAGTGCCTAGCACACTGCAGATCAAGGACTAAAATTTATGCAATAAGAATCTATTCCATGAATGAAAGAGCCACAACCTTCTGCACTGCCCTGTGACATGCCCACCTTTCTCCTCTCCTATGGTCTCCACAAGATAGCTGGCCTCCTCCTGTATGCGCTGCTCTAAGCTCTTCTTTCCCAATCCAAAGTTCTTGAGTGTCATTAGTGCAAACCTTCTTTGCTCTTTCCATGTCTGGCCATTGGACATGATCAATCCTGGAAAAAATACATTCAGCATTATGGCATTGTGATTTGGGCTTAAAAGTACCAGAAAAACTGTATTAGACATGAATACAGAGGAAAAGAAAGCCCAGTATGGGAACTGATAGCTGTCTAGAGACGATCTCAATGAAAGTGGCTAACACGTTCTGGTGATTTGTAACAGCTCATGGTTTATTAAGTACTTCTTATGTAGTATATAATTTTGTACTGATAGAAACTCTGGAGGTTTATTACCAGCTAGCAAATGTCCATTTCAGTTGGTAAAACACCTAAGTATGATAATAAATTCTAAAGTAATTTTTGAACATCCACAAGTTGATGAACATCCAGGTGTTCAAGTTTCCCTGGTTCTAAAGCCCCAAATTGATGAGTAGAAATATGTCTATTTATGTCACAATGCATTCCAGGAGTGCACTCATGGATAAGACAAGGCACACATTACTTATGAAGCAACAAAGGCACTATAGGAGAGGTTCTATCAATGACAGGCTTGAAGGATGACAAAATGACTCAAGAAGTTAAGAAGGATGAATATCACACATACACACACACACACAGAGAGAGAGAGACAGAGACAGAGACAGAGAAAAAAGGGGTGCGAGAGAGGAGGGACATGTTGCTGGGGTTAGCATCCACCATGTCTCAGCACACACACAATGCCACACTCCTGTCTATATCTTACCTTTCAGAGCAGTGTTCAACTCTTTAAAATTTACCATCCTGGTTTCCATTTCCACGTGTTCTTTCATCAAGTCAGTCATTTATTTTCTGAAATTTCCCCTTCTATGCTGGGCCATTCAGCTACAGATTTTCTTCTCAATTCTTTGACAGAAACTTCCTATGACTTTTGTTGTATTTTAACAATCGAATCTCAAAACATTGGAATTTTTAAGAAGAATTCTAATAACACACTTCTACACCAAATTTTGTCTCAGAAAATCCAGTTGACTCTTATAATTTAAATAACCTCTTCTGATTGTCAATCTGTAGTTTTATCCCAGGAGGAAAATAAAATATTCCTGGATCATGCATGTTACTATACACGTTACCAGCTACAGAAATTTACACTCAGTACATGTATGACAGACGTCATTATTACACTTCTGACATTCCCAAATAGAAGTCACCACCACTAGTCACCTTGTCTCTTGCGATTGTTCTCCCTACATCACTCACAGCTCCTGCAGTCTCCTGAGAACCCATTTCCCTGCAGCTAAGACATATGCCATGATGGTTTCTTTCTTGAATGAATTCAGTCTGTATGGCTTTAATGCCACCATCCCAGTCTAACCTGCTGTCATATTTTGTCATATTGACTGTTCTAGCTCCTTTTATAATTACAGTGATGATTTCTTTGCTATCATCTTCTGTTCTCTACCTGGTATTCTAAATATGTGCCTCAAGACGTTCAATATTTGATCTTTTTCTCCTAACCAAAACCATTTAAGAGCTTGTCCTGCTGTTATGGTGAAAACCAAGAGCTGGGCTCTTTCCTATCAACCTCAATAGTTTTATGTCCACTTAAACATATCCTTCAGATACTATACTTGTCACACTGGATCCTTGCAGTTTTTCAAGATTGCAGCTTTATTGTGCCTTCAAAGATAGTTCATCTCTTTGAGTACTTCTTTCATACTATTCAATGAATACCACTATTTCAAAAGCTTTTCCTGAATCCTAGGACAACTTGGATGTCTTTGATAAATGTTTTATTGTTGTAGCATGACAGGATTTTAATCAGTATAGTTAAGTGATTCAGACTTTCTTGTTAGATGAATTATGTGTTATACAAGAATGATTTTTATCTAATATGATCAGCATTAATCAATTAGACTGATAACTCTGCTTCTCCTCGCAGACAATGTAGTCGAAGTCATACCATTAATGGTTGATCTTTTCAAGGAGCAATTTGAAATGGCTAAGGCAGAGCTTTTATAGGTTAATAGAGATGAAGTCTGTTTTCAACTTTCAAACACATAACTCGATTTAATGATCACTTTGTATACTTATGCTAGGTTATTCTCACACTGTCTCGAACGCTAGAGATGCCTGGGAGGCATAACTTCAGTGATGCAGTTTAAGGAGTCATAAGCAAGAAGAGCAGCAACAGGAGGAAGCTCACTCACACCCCATTTTCCTAGAACAGAGGATTGGAGTGGAAAAAGGGAAGGGAGGGCCCAGTATATCTGTCTGTGGAAGGAGCTGCCCTTACCTATGCACACATCTAGAGTTAGTCTGCAGGACACGTGGTTTCTCCAAGTCTCTTTTACAGGGGTACAGTGCAAGTCCTCTGACGGTTGCTTTCATGTAGGATATAATGCATCGAGCTGACTTTGAAGATAACATTTCATGAAGGGTTTGGCTTATAGGAATGTTGTAAAATAAAAGACATGAAGGTACCTTTATCACATAAAACACCTTATACTGTACTAGAAAAAATACTATATGCACTTTTTAAAAATATTCATACATGTGCAATACGGATTGATCATATCCCTTTTCCACTCTTTCTAAAACTCTTTCAGGAACCTCTCTTGATATGTATCCTATCCTTTATCAAAATTAATGTGTTTTTTAAAAATACCCTCTACAGTTAAGAGTGTTGCCAGGTAAACTTACCATTGTCATTAAAGACACGTTTTCTGAGAGGTGTAATGGGGCGTTTCAAAAAGTTTTGTTCCATGTGAGTGAAAGCTTCTTTGATTAAGGGCAGTCCAGTTATGACCACTGAAGGGATGTTACCAAAATCCAGGCTAATTAGGTTTCCATACTTCTTCACAAACTGAAAAACATTTCAATAGTCATGGTCAAGTGTGTCTGTGTCAGGTGTTAAGGGATGGCAGATGTGTGTGTCTCATGGGACTCATGTTGAGAGGCCTCTATGTGACTGTGAATGAAGGGGTGCACCTTGTTCTTTGGTTTCTGAAAAGGTTTTCTCCTCCTCTGAACTAAATTCAAATTCAATTAAAACTGGAACTTACTCTATGAAAATCTTTGATAGAGGACATTATGAATTGAATGAGCATCTATAATGTACTACTAAAGAAATGTAAAAGGATGGACGTGTCAAAAATTATGCAAGGTCTTGACTCTGTCCCCAAACCTTCCTATTCCCCTTCCCGCTTCAACCTCAGTGGAACTCTGAAACATAGGCTGCAAATTCACAGAAAGGACCAAAAGGTGAGAGACTACCCACCTAGTGGAACACCTCCCTTTCTAGGCCCTCCATATCACGGCAAAACCCCAGAGCCCTTCCCCACTCACTTCAGCTTCTCTATCCAGCCAGCAGGCAAGCTTCCTTCAGGTAGGTTGCTCCAATAACCCCATCCCATCGATGAGACCCTGTAAGCTACAAATTCTACTCTGCCCCCAAACCTCCCTATCCTATGCGACCTCAGTGGAACTCAGAAACACCAGCTACAGCTATCACAGAGGACCAAGAGAGTAAACCAAGAGAACAGACAAAGAGAGCGGGTCAAGAGAAAGGCCAAGAGAGACTTTAGTGGTTCCCTGAGACACAAGGAACAGCAGTACAGAGCATATCAATAACAGTTCCTAAAGACACAGACAGCCACTACAAGGATTGGATCAAGAGACAAAGACACTGCCTGTACCAACTGGAAGAAGAGATAAGTAGACACTAATGCAAGAATTCATTCAACAACCTAAAAAGCAACATGGTACCCAGTAGTCATAAGACAGGAAGACTTGACGATCCTAACCCAAAAGAAGCAGAAAAAAAGATTTTAAAAATCACTTTATGAGGATGAGGGAGACCTTTAAAGAAGAAATGAAATATTCCCTTAAAGAAATGAAGGAAAAGGAAAAGGCAAAAAAAAAAAAACCTCTCAACAAAACCCAAGAAAACCAAGAAAAAAAAACCAATTAAGCTGATGAAGCAAATTCAGTTCAGTTCAACACTTGAAGACTGAAATAGAGTCAATAAAGAAAACACAAACTGAAGGTATTTTGGATATGGAAAATCTGGGTAAACAAACAGCAACTATAGAGGCAAGCATAATCAACAGAATGCAAGAGATAGACGAGAGAATCTCGGGTGTTGAAGATACTCTAGAGGAAATAGATTCATTAGTCAAAGAAAACAATAAATCCAACAAATTCTTAATAAAAAACATCCAGGAAATCTGGGACACCATGAAAAGACCAACCCTTCGAATAATAAGGATAGAAGAAGGAGAGTACCTCCAGCTCAAAGGTGCAGAAAATATATTCAACAAAATCATAGAAAAATCTTTCCTAACCTAAAAAAAGATATCCCAATGAAGGAACAAGAAGCTTACAGAACACCAAATAGACTGGACCAAAAAAAAAAACCAGTTCCTTCACCATATAATAATGAAAATGAAAAACATACAGAATAAAGAAAGAATATTAAGAGCTGCAAAGGAAAAATGTTAAATAACATATAAAGTCAGACCTATCAGAATTACACCCGACTTCTCAAAAGAAACCATGGAAGTCAGAAGGTGTTGGACAGATGTGACGCAGACACTAAGAGACCGAGAATGCCAGCACAGACTACTATACCCAGCAAAGCTTTCAATTACCATTGACAGAGAAAACAAGATATTCCATGACAAAAATCAGATTTAAACAATACCTACCCACAAATCCAGCCTTACGGAAAGTACTAGGAGGAAAACTCCAACTCAAGGAAGTTAACTACACCCAAAAAACACAGGCAGCACATAACATCATACCAACAAACCCCATAAGGGAAACACACAAACACTACCACCAAAAACCCAATAGGAATTAATAATCACTGGAAATTAATATCTCTAAATATCAATGGACTCAATTCACCTTTAAAAAACACAGACTAAGAGAATGGATATGAAAGCATGAGTTATTCTTCTGCTGTATACAGGAAGCACACCTCAACCACAAAAACAGACATTACCTCGGAATAAATGGTTGGGAAATGATTTTTTTTCAATCTAATCGACCTAAAAAGCAAGCAGGTGTAGCTATCCTAATACTAACAAAATAGACTCCACACTAAAATCAATCAGAAGAGATGGAGAAGGACCCTTTACTCTCATAACAGAAATAATTCATCAAGACAAAGTCTCAATTTTGAACATCTGTGACCCAAATACAAGAGCACCCACATATGTAAAAGAAATATTACTAAAGCTTAAATCACATGTCAAACCTCATACATTAATAGTAGGAGATTTTAACACCCTACTCTTCACAATGGACAGGTCAACCAGACAGAAACTTAACAGAGAAAGAACTAACAGATGCTATGACTCAAATGAACTTAACAGACATCTGCAGAATATTCCACCCAAACACTAAGCAATATAGTTTCTTCTCAGGACTTCATGGAACCTTCTCTAAAATTTCCCACATATTCAGTAACAAAGCAAACCTTAACAGATACAAAAAAGCAGGAATAACACCGGTTTAAATTTAATATTTAACAATAACACTAATTGCTGAAAGCCTACAAACTCATGGAAATTGAACAGTGTTCAGTTGAACCAACCTTGGGTCAAAGAAGAAATAAAGGAAGAATTTAAAGATTTCCTAGAATTGAACAAAAATGAAGGCACAACGTACCCACTTTGGAACATTATGAATGCAGTCCTAAGAGGAAAACTCAAAGCAAAAAAGTGCCTACATAAAGAAAGTGGAGAAATCTCACAGTAGTGACTCAACAGCACATCTGAAAGCTCTGGAACAAAAAGAAGCAGACTCACCCTGGAGGAGTAAACAACAGGAAATAATCAATTTGAGGGCTGAAATCAATAAGATAGAAACAACGAAAACAATACAAAGAATCAATGAAACAAAGAGCTGTTTCTTTGTGAAAATCAACAAGATAGACAAACCCTTATCCAAACTAATCAAAAGGCAGAGAGAGAACATCAAAATTAACAAAATCAGAAATGAAAAGGGGGACGTAACAATAGACACTGAGGAGATCCAAAGAATCATTAGGTTATACTATAAATACCTGTACTCCACAAAATTAGAAAATGTTAAAGAAATGGACAATTTTATGGATAGGTACCACATACCAAAATTAAATCAAGGTCGGGTGAATAATTTAAATAGATCTATAAATTGCAAGAAAATAGAAGCTGTCATCAAAAGTCTCATAAAAAAAGCCCAGGACCAAAATGGTTTCAGTACATAATTCTGCTAGAACATCAAAGGAGAGCTAATACCTATACTCCTCAAAGGATTTCTTATAATATAAAGAGAAGGGACATTGACAAACTCTTTTCACGTAGCTGCAGTTACCCTGATATCAAAACCATACAAAGACTCAACCAAGAAAGAGAATTGCAGAACAATCCAACTCATAAAAATAGATGCAAAAATAAATCATTACCCATGATCAATTTGGCTTCATCCCAGAGATGCTGGGATGGTTCACCATATGAAAATGTATCATTGTAATCCATCATATAAATAAACTGAAATGAAAAAGCACATAATCATCTCATTAGATGCTGAAAAAGCATTTGACGAAATACAGCACCCATTTATGAAAATGGTATTTGAGAGTTCAGTGATACAAGGAACATATCTAAAAATAATAAAAACAACATACAGCAAGCCAAGAGTCAACACCAAATTAAATGGAAAAAATGCAAAGCGATTCCACTAAAATCAGAAACAAGATAAGGCTGTCCACTCTCTCCATATCTATTCAACCTAGTTCTTGACATTCCAGGTAGAACAATAAGACAACAAAAGGAAATGAGGGGGTTCAAATTGGAAAGGAACAAGTCAAATTTTCATTATTTGCAGATGATATGATAGTATACATAAGTGACCCCTAAAACTCTACCAGGGATCTCCTAAAGCTGATAAATACTTTTGGTAACGTAGCACAATTCAAGATCAACTCAAAATAAAAAAATCAGTAGTCCTCCTATATACAAATAATAAAGAAGCTGAGAAAGAAATCAGAGAAACATCACCCTTCACAATAGCCACAGATAACCTAAAAGATCTTGGGGTAACACTAAACAAAGAAGAAAAAGACCTGTTTGACAAGAATTTTAAGTCTTTGAAGAAAGGAATTGAAGAAGATACCAGAAAATGGTAAGATCTCCATTTTACTATGCTCTTGGATAGGTAGGATCAACATAATAAAAATGAAAATCCTACCAAAAGTAATCTGTAGATTTAATGCACTCACCATCAAAATACTAATATAATTCTTCACAGAATCTGAAAGAATAATACTCAACTCCATATAGAAAAACAAAAAACCCAGGACAGTCAAAACAATCCTGTACAATAAAGGAACTTCTGGAAGCATCCACATCCATGACATCATGTTCTATTCCAGAGCTACTGTAATGAAACAGCTTGGTATTGGCATAAGAACAGACAGGTTGACCAATGGAACCCAATCAAAGACCTGGATACTAATCTACATATCTATGAACACCTGATTTTTGACAAAGAAGCTAAAATTATACAATCGAAAAAAAGAAAGCATATTCAACAAATTGAACTGGCATAACTGTATGTCAACATGCAGAAGAATGCAAATATAAACTTATCTATCCACATTTACAAAACTCAAGTCCAAATGAATTAAAGACCTCAATATAAATCAGACTACAGTGAACATGATAGAAAAGAAAGGGGGAAGTAGCCTTCAATGCATGGGCACAGGAGACCACGTCATAAATATAACACCTGTAGCACAGACACTGAGAGCAACAATAAATAAATGAGACCCCCGGAAACTGTGAAGCTTCTGTAAAGCAAAGAAAACAGTAAACAAGACAAAAACGAAGCCTATTGGAAAATCTCTTTACCAACTACACATAAGACAGAGGACTGATCTCCAAAATATATAAAGAAGTCAAGAAATTTGACATCAAAATTCCAAATAATCCAATTAAAAATGGGGTACAGAACTAAACAGAGAATTTTCAACAACAACAACAACAACAAAAAACTCAAATGACTGAAAGGCACTTAAGGAAATGTTCAACATCCTTAGCCTTCAGGGAAATGCAAATCAAAATGACTCTGAGATACCATCTTATACCTGTCAGAATGGTTAAGATTAAAAGCACTAATGATAGCTAATGCTGGAGAAAACGTGGAGTAAGGAGAACACCCCTCCATTGCTGGTGGGAATGCACACTTGTTCAACCTCTCTGTAAATTAGTATGGTGATTTATCAGAAAGTTGGGAATCATCCTACCTCAGGACCCACCAATACTACTCATGGGCCTATACCCAAAGAATGCTCAGTCATACTAAAGAAAATTTAACCATGTTCATAGCAGCATTATCTGGAATAGAAACAACCTAGATGCCCCTCAACTGAAGAATGGATAAAAAAAACCTTAAGGTATATTTACAAGATGGAGTATTACTCAGAGGTAATAAAACAATGACATCTTGAAATTTGCATGTAAATGGAACTAGAAAAAAATCCAGAGTGAGATAACCCAGACCCAGAAGCATGAACATGGTATGTACTCACTCATAAGTGGATACTAGCTATAAACCTAAGGATAATGAGCCTATAGACTACTACCCTAGAGAAGCTAAGTAACAAGGTGAACCCTAAGAAGAACATATATAGAGCCCCCTGGAAATTTGAAATAGACAAAATCATCTGACAAAATTGGGAGTTTGGGGGAAAGGGAGGACAGAAAGGGAAAAGGAGGGGAAAGAGGGAGGGAGGAAGAGAACTTGAGGGAATGGGATAGTTGAGATGAGGGAAGGACAGAGATGAGAGCAAGGAAAGAGATATTTTATATTGAAGGAGCCATTATGGGGTTAGCAAGAAACCTAACTCTAGAGAAGTTACCAGAAATCCACAACAATGACCCCAGCCAAGACCCTAAGCCACAGATGAGAGAGTACCCTAACTGGTCTTGCCCTGTAATCAGACTGGTGAATATCTTAAATATCATTATAGAACCTTAATCCATATACTGATATAAACAGAGGCAGAGACCCACAGTGGAGCATTGGGCTGAGCTGCCAAGGTCCAGTTGAAGAGTGGGAAGAATAAGAATATGAGGAAAGAGGCCAAGATCATAATGGATACACCCACTGAAACGGTCTACCTGAGCTAACCAGGTAGCTACCAGGAACACCAGCTGGACAGGGATGGCACAATCATAGGACTAAATTAGTCCCTCTGAATGTGACTGATAGTTTCATGGCTGGGGCAGATTGAGGGGCCACTGGCAGTGGCACCAGGATTTATTCTTACTGCTTGTACTGACTTTTTGGGAATCTATTCTCTTTGGATGGATACCTTGCTCAGCCTAGATATCTAGGAAGGACCTTGGACCTTCCCCAAAGCAATGTGCCTCACTCTCTCTGAGGACGGTGGGGGGGGATGAGATGAGGGGGGGGGAAGTAGAGGGAATGGGAGGAGGGAGGGAGTGGGAACTTGAATAGGTATGTATAATGGAAAAGGTAGTTTGTTTTCTTTTTTAAAAAATAAAAGGCTCAGGTGACCAGAAAAGGCCTGAGGAAAGTCTGTCCATGTTTTTAATAGTTTTCTTGGACTTCTTAGAAAACCAAATGTTTTTTATCTAGATGATAATGTCATCTTCACAACATCTGCCAGACATGAGATGCATGTATGTAAATAATGAGACTAACACTGAGGGCAGTCCATGCACCTGTGTGTGGAAAAGGCACCTTGATGTAAAAGGAATGTTTCAGCACTTTCTTCTTTATCTTCACTTCACCAAACTCCAATTCACTTCTGAGTTGGAAATATCTTCTTATACTTTCATTCATACATTCACCAATATGCACTGAGTGGGCATCAGTGTTTCTCTGGAAGTGTTTTTAAAACAGCAAGGTCTCTAACCTGGAATCTAGTGAAGGCAGGAAATTCAAGTCATTGCTCCTCAGAGTTCAAGTTGTCTATGTAAAAGTCTGTTGCAGGAAGCATGGAAGTCTGAGTGAAAATTACAGTATCAGTGTAGGGAAGGGAATATTCTCTGTTTAATCATTAGTTGAAATGAAAAATTCAATAAAGGGTGAAGGCTAGGAGTGGAGACATCTCTGCAAATCTGGAGTGATGAAAAAGCATGTAGGCTCTATGGTTAACTGACTTTGGGTTCCTGGGGCAAGTGCTCTCTTCCAAGTCTCAGAACTCCCAGTTATGAAAGAGTGAAAAAACATCCCTACTCAAAGAGTTCTGTGGGATATAGTTGAGAGTTGCACTAAGAGAAGCATTGTTTAGCTCCAGGCACCCAGCCACCCGCTGCATCTCTGACAAATGAATGAGCTCTGTGTTCAAAGGTTTGGAGATACAAAGGCATGATAAGAGTCAGGACAAGAACCTACCGGTCCCAGACAGCCACACAAACTGAGTGGGGATTCAGTATGCTTTGTGCTTTACCTGGTTATGGATAACTGTTCTACTGTAGCTAGGATTTTCTTCACCACTCTGAAAAGGCAAATAAATTGTAAACGGAGTAATCTCAGTATATCAGATTGAAGGCAAATGTAGTAATGTAGAGATGTCCATAGGACCTTAGAGTTTAGTGGAAGGTAACTTGGAGAGCAGCCGTGCGAACAAGGAGGTCTTTAGGAGGTAAGGAGAGTGCCTATGACATGCCTAATGTAGAAAACATCGTTTGGTTTGAATGACGCTATGCGATCAACATCAATGTTCCTTCCTCTTGTGTTCTCAAGAGTCAAAACTACATAGATTCAAGCTCTAACTCTTGTCTAGCTGCAAAAGTAGTGTTAAACAGAAGGGTTAAATTCCTTCAGGTATTTGTGGTCTTCCACCCCATCTCTATGCACTGTCACCCAACCCTTAACTTTGAGACCAAGCCCTGAACCCATGGAAACAGAGTCAAAACATATGTCATGATTTGGGCTCATCTGAGAATATTACACCCACATTGAAGACAACCTAGACTCGGTCTTCCCTTTGTTATTTATCCATAGGCCTTAATAATTTCATTTAGCCTCAGTCAGTCTGCCCTATCTTAGTCATAAGTACAGTACCAATAAGTGAATATATTTTACTTTAAGAGCTATCAGTATTGGATGCATGGCTATACAGTAAATTTCTAATTTCATTTTGAATTCCCAATGAAGGAGTTCTGGAAACAACTGAAAATTTGGTTTAAGCTAAAATACTGCTCTCTGGCAATGTGTACTACCTAGATTTTGTACTTGAAATTGAACTTGAGAAGGATCCAGAGGCTAAGTTCTGAGGTAAATGACTTTTTTATTTTTTCTTTTTCTTTCTTTTCTTTTTTACTTTTTTGGTATTTCAAGACAGGGTTTCTCTGTGTAACAGCTCTAGCTATACTGGAACTAGTTCTGTAGATGAGACTGGCCTTGAACTCACAGAGATCTGTCTTCTGAGTGCTTGGATTAAAGGTGTGTGCTACCACTGCCTGGTGCCTTTTTCCATTTTTATCAGCACTTTGATTATGTATAATTCTCGTTCAGTAGAATTATAGCAATAAGTTTTATGTTGGTACCAACCAAGAGAAGATCAGCAAGTCAATCGGCCTCTGAATTTCTAGCCTTATGATTCTCAAATGTGTCAGTTTTGTCTTCAACTGTTTCATGTGGATTAAATGAGTCAGGTGATGTTTCAAGTAATTTTAAAAGAGTATAAAAGAAAGATAGGGCATGGCTGGAGTGACGGATCAGTGGCAAGGGCTCCATTCCCAGCACCCATACGACTGCTCACAATGGCCTGTAACTCCCATTTCAGGGGATCAAACACATCTTCTGGCCTCTGTGGGTACCAGGCACGTATGCACTGTACAGACATACATGAGAGTAAATTATTCATATACATAATTTCTAAAATATAAGCTAGTCCAGAAGGCTAAAACAGGATTAAAAATGGGACTAATAATAAAAATTAAAACAATGGGTTAAAATATGAGATATAATATTCAAGGAGAGCAATAGGACCGGACCTCAATAGAAGGAATGAGATCTGTAAATGTAGTGTAAAGAAAGAAGGATCATCAGAGGGAATGTTTAGAAGAAAAAGAAATTTCATTCCAAAGATTAGTGAGACAAGACACTGAGCAATGAAGAGAATCTTGAGAAAGATTCCACTATATCAAAGTTCTTAGACTTAAGAAAGAACAAAACAGTGTCACCCAGAAAGAAAATGAATTAACTTCCCCATAAGGAGTAAATAAGAAGGTTATTAGCCTGAATTTTTAAAACATTGAGCAGTGAGGTGTGTGTGTGTGTGTGTGTGTGTGTGTGTGTGTGTGTGTTCCTAATGGGCACAATAAACCGAAATCTCTGTTTATTTTTCAAGGTGAGCTATTCTGTCATCCATCTACTTAACAAACTTAAGAGACATGAAATTATACATACTGTGTTTCTCAGATCATAATGGGATAACAACGGAGATCTTTCATACCAAGATATTAAAATCAACTTTTTGGCAACAAAACATCATGTGTCAAAAGTGAGGGCACAGATTAGAAACTAGCTCTACTGGCTGGGTTAGCCTGCAGCCAGCATCAGCTCACAGCCAGGTCCTCCCGCCCCCAGTTCCGGGATCCCTGTTCCTGCAGCTCTGGATTGGGTCTTGGCACAGCCAGACACCCTCACCCTTTCTCACCTGCTGAACTGCCAGATGCGACTGTTCCAAATCCAACTGGAGCAAGTTTCCCACAAAAGGCAGGCGCCAGGGCCCTGGAGGGCAGTTCTTGGGGCGCCTGTTTATTAGGTAGTTGGTCAGGAGCAGGAAAGGGACAGCAGCCAGCAGCAGAGTCCTAGGATGGAGCGCTGCCCAGATGGCAGCCACCAGGGAGCCCTCAGTGACAAACATGACAAGAGTTGGGGCCGGTTCCCTGGGTCTCTGCCTGGTGCTGAGAAAGTAGAGACAGTCCCTCTGCTAAGTTCCACCCTGCTCCTTGCAAACCACGCCCTCTCAGTCCTACCAGAGCCCTGCCCTGTGCACTGTTCCTGCCATCTCCACTGGCCCCGCCCCATTTCTCTGTTCTGCCTGGGAGCCAATACCCTGCTCATCAGTACTGGTTAATGCTGCAGGCTTCCACAGAGCCCTTGAAACTCTGCACTTTTACCTAGTCCACGCCCTCCTAATCCTTGCTGTGTCTCTCTTTCCTTTGCCCCATCCCCCAAGTCCTGTTTACCTGCAGGTACTCAGTCTCCACCCCTAGGTGCCAGGCACTGTATTCCCAGCACTGGTCCCCAATGGGAATTCAAAGGGCTGCCTAAGAGTGGTTGCTATTTCAGAAATTTGTATTTCTGAAGCCTTTGTGTGGCTCTGGGAATAGTGATTTACATCCCTGCAGACTCCTGGTTTATAAAGGAGCGTTCTCCAGGGTTGGCAACCTTCCCGAGAGTAAGGCTCCTATAGATAGTGCCCCTGACAGCTCCTATAGATAGTGCCCCTGACAGCATGCCCGAGGCCTCTTATCACTGAGCTCTCAAGCTCCCTCTTTTCTTCCTTCGGTCCTTTCTGTACATACTTTTCACACATTTAAAATGTCTTAGCTTATTTGAGAATTCCAGACAATATATTTCAATCATATGCTTTTTCCTCTCCCAACTCCTCCCTGATTTCACCTACCTCCCTATCCGGAACTTCTTGTGCTCTCTCTTTAAAACAAAACATAAATTTTAAAACAAAATGGTGTGTGTGTGTGTGTGTGTGTGTGTGTGTGTGTGTGTGTGTGTGTTTGTGTGTGTGTTAGATGTTAGACAACTGGAGGAAAGGTGGCAGCTTTGGGAGAGTCCCTGACACTCACTGTTCTGCAGGTGATAGCTTTGTAGAATTATCTGTGTCACTGACAGCATGGCAAGGTTCTGAAGGGAGCAGTAAGTACTCACCAGCAAAGAGAGTCCATTCTTTATTATTATTACTACTACTATTATTATTATTGCTTTTATTGAGTTATACATTTTTTTTCTGCTCCCCTCCCTTCTTCGCCCCTTCCCTTCAACCCTCTCTCATGGTCCCCATGCTCCCAGTTTACTCAGGAGAGCTCATCTTTTTGCCATGTAGATTAGATCCATGTATGTCTTCCTTAGGGTACTCAAGGTTGTCTAGGTCCTCTGAGATTGTGAATTGTAGACTGGCTTTTCTTTGCTTTATGTCTAAAAGCCACTTATAAGTGAGTTCATATGAAAATTGTTTTTCTGAGTCTGGGTCTTAAAGGTTCTGAAGAGAGCAGACAGTACCTTCCAACAAAGAGCAGTCCATTCTCAAAGGCTTTGAGGGGCTTGGAGGTTCCACACCAAGAGGCAAAATAGTTAAAAAGTAATCTATGTCCCATGCCTCTGGCCACTTACACAATTTGGCCATTCGTGAGAGCTATGAGGAGAGAAAGGCTGCTTCAGTAAGTGATCCAACATTTCTATTTACTTACTTACTTACTTACTTACTTACTTACTTACTTTGAGACAGGGCTTCACTAACTAGTGATGGTTGCCCTGAAACTACGATGTTGGCCAGGCTCCTCTCAAACTCACAGAGATCCACCTGTCTTTTGCCTTTCCAGTGCACCACACATCAGGCTGCTGGTCTCACCTTTAAGCAGCATCTTATCAGAGGAGAGAGGTTATGTGTGTGTGTGGGGGGGGGGGGTGGGTGGGTGGTCAGAGTCCTCAGACTGCAGCAGCTGTCACATAGCAGAGAGAGGTCACTGTTGAGAAGATTCACAAACAATTCCCTCCCCATGAACTGTGCGGTACAGTTATGAAGGTGAGGTAAAGTGTTTATTTAGATCTGTATGGGTTTTTTAAATCTTGTTTTCATAATCATTCTCAAGTTGGAAACACTAATGCCAATTTATTTGTATGTTTGTAATCCTTTTGCCCAATACCACGAAGACTCGAATATATATTCTGAAAGAAGACCCTGCAACTTCTCATATTCACCACTGATACCTGACACATAATTAATTATTGATAAATACTAACAAAAATTGAATATAGTGTCATGATTGTTGATTTCAAAGTCCAGTTGCTTCCACCCTTACCAAGTAGAAGAAATGATTCCTATTATTTGGCTTATGTGGGAGTACATATAGGGGTTAGGAAAGCAATATAATTTTACCAAATAAGAGACTACTACCAATTTCAGTCCACAGGAAGGGAAGACATTTTTACCAACTCCCATCTGAAAGAGGGCTAATATTCAAAATACATCAATAACTCAAGAAACCTGATAGATACTTTGCTGAGCCTTGATGTAGGGAAAGGGGCTTGGTCCTGCCTCATCTTGGAATGCTAGACTTTGTTGATTCCCCAAGGGAGATCTTACACCCTCTGAGGAGTAGATGGGGGGTGGGATGGGGAAGAAGTGGTGGGTAGAAGAAGGAGAGGAAGAGGGAACTGGGGTTGGTATGTAAAATGAAAAAAATAGTTAAAAAACCCGAAAACTCAGTTAAAAAAAATGAGGTTCATATCTAAACAGAGATGTCTCAATGGAGGACACTCAAGTGGCTAAGAAAGGCCTAAAGAGTTGTTCAGCAACCTTAGCCATCAGTGAAATGCAAATCAGAACTACTTTGAGATTCCTTCTTATACCTTTCAGAATAGTTAAGGTCAGTAACATCTCTCTCTCTCTCTTAAAATATTTTTAGATTTTTTCATGTATATGAGTGTCTTACTGGCACATATGTCTGTGTACCATATGTATACCTTGTGCCCTCTGAGTTCAGAAGAGGTCTGCTTAAACTAGAGTTAAGAACAGTTGTGAACTGTCCTGTGGGTGCTGGGAATTGAACCCACGTTGTCAAGAACAGGTGCTCTTAAATGCTGAGCCATATCTCCAAGTCAAGCCATTTCTCCAAGTGCCCCTCCCATCTCTTTAGAACAGGGATATGAATCTCCTTCATTAGGTAAAATGTACTGTTCAGACTTCAGAATGCCAAGTTTTACTGGAAAACCGATTTCAATCTGTAAGTGTGGTACTGGTGGCAGAGGGGGGCCTCACCCCAGAATGCACTGTACTGCCGTCCATTGTATTAGAAGGATGTGGGTTCAGGCAATACATGACGGTCTCAACAGGGCAACTCCTAGAAGATTAATACGGCCTAAAGGGGCAGAAAAACTGCAGACTCCCTGGAGTAGGAGCAGGGCTGGTAGCAAAATCAAAGGGCTGAGTAGATCAAGAGCAATGCTGATGACAGAGCAGGTAGGACAGGTAGCATTAGGGAGATGTTACAAGGAAGGATGTCTGCATAGGAATAAGAGTGAAGAAGCCATGCCCAACCCACCCGAAAAACAGTCAGCATGACAGCTGGACTGAGCCATAGGAACCGCCTTATGGAATCATGCAGTCGTTAGCCTACTATACTGCAAGCCACCATGATCAATTGAGTGGTGAGAAGGAACACCAAGAACCTTTGTGGTAAATGACTACAAAATGCATTGTATTGTAATAAAATGACTGCAGTTCTGGCGAGCTCTCCATAGAGACACACACACACACACACACAAAAGTGAGCCCAGGTGTTTGGAGCGAGGTGGTGATGCTGTGTAGCATTTCGCTCCAGGATGACAGGACCATTTCAGTGACAAAACAGAGCAGCTGTTATCACCTGCTTGACCTCTTTGAAGCATGAAACCGACTGACATTGCCTCATGGAGAGATAAGAAAGGTTCATGAGGTTGGTAAGGCCCCTTGCAAAGGTTACGTGGGTGGTGGACAATTATTAGTTTGTGGGATGGGGAGGAGACTGTTTATTTGTTCAGCTGCCTGAGAATCAGTAGGAAATTGGTTGTTGAGAAGCTGCCCATGGTCTTGTAAGTGCCACCAAGAAGTTTATTGGTTCATCAACCTGCATCCATTTTCTGTGACCTATTGATACCCTCTGAGCTGAATAGACATAGTGTCTTATGGCTCCCCGGAAACTTCAGGAGACAGGCGTAGTAGGAATGCGTCAACCTTTGTTTAACTCTTTACTGAGTCCTATGTCCTCAAACGTATTACAGGGGCAACATTTCATGCTTCTGAATCTAATTCACTCCATTATATTGTACAATTTCTGCTCTCACACTCTACTTTGGAGGAGAGAGACAGAAGCTTACAGATTTGAACATCTTCTTGAAATCACATAACCCATGCGGTGTTTCACACAAATATCCCCCATGTTTCTTCTTTGGTTCTCTACACAAAGTTTGGATAATTCAGTTTAAGTGAACACAAGAGGACAAAGGATGGACCCTAGGAGTAGAACTCTGGAGTTTCCTGTTGTGACTGAGATGCCTCTTATCAGAGGAAGCAATCATTGATACTTCTTTACCAGGCTAGACCTCGCCTCGGGTCTATATCCTGGACCTCCCAATGGTTCATGTAGTCCAGCTATATAATCAGACACACTTTTTGCAGACTGAGGGCATTGCATGTGCCTTTCTTGGTCTCTGTTCTAAGACGTCAAAGCTCCTTATTTATTTTTAATTTGTTGTTGCAGCATGCCTGTGTCTATGTTTCTTTGTAGGAAAAAGGTAGAGGATCCACAGCCTGAGATCCCATTTGGAAAGCACCCATCTTTATTATCACAGGTCTTGTAGAACAGATGCCAGGAAGAAATGAGGAGGTGAAGGGCAATAAGACTGCAAAAGCAAGAGGGGTGAGTTTACTTCTGGCCCGTGGAAGGAGCCCGGTGAGGAAGAGTTCAGACTTTCCCTGACCTCCTAAACCCCTGCAGTGGTGGTGGCTCCGCCCTGTTAAGCTCTCCCGCCTGCCATCCCAGCTTCCATCCAGGCACACCTTCCTATATTTCTCCCTTCCCCCTGGGGCCATAAAGTTTCCCCAGCTCAGCTGCCTTGTGCACTGGGCCTGGGCTGTAGGCAAAACCCAGAAGGAGGGAGTGCCTGTGTTTTAAAAGCCTGCCTGAGGACAGATGGGCCCTGTGTCAGCTCAG